GAACAAAAAATCTACCGAAGGGTAAAACCGACATTTTCTGCCAAACTTAAGGCTTTTTATGACATTATCCCTAAACATTATTATTAAACATTTAAACTCGTTGTTATGTATTTCATAAAATAGCAAAGAACTTCGGTGATTTAAGTTTGATCGAACTAAAATTTATATAGCTTGACTGAAGTTCAAAAACGAACTCAAAATGTATAACGAATTCAGGCTGTTTGATGTTAGAAGACTGCAATCAGCTCGAAAACAGTCATCGTTGATTATGGTTTCCAAAAAAACACTATGAACTGTTAGACAAACTTTAAATGGATACCCATGAGCTCATTCTGACTCTTAATTTAGACTACATTCATAGAGAGAAGAACTGATGGAAAGTATTTTGAGAGAGATAGAGAACTTGACCCTATTATTTAGTTGTATTCCCTAGCTATGTTGTGTCAATTGATATAGTGAGCATGTGTTGTCATACATGTCTTACTCCACTTCAGCTCCAACAAAAAAAGGGAGAGATGTGCCAAGTTGGGAAGAAGAGAGGGGGTGGTGTGCTAAATGAGAGAGAAGAGAAGGAGGAGAAGGCGAGAGTCTCTCTCTCTCTCTCTCTAAGGTGTTACCGAGTTAGACTGTCGAGCTTTCGCCGAGCTGACTCAATCAATACCGAGCTTCTGCCGAGTCCGCTCCCCATAGCTTTATCTGTAGCGGATAGGCCATGTGTATTTATTGTAATGTTGGGAATGCTTGGTCCGAAGCCAGACTCTTTAGGAGCTATAGGAAGTTTGTGGTTTGCGAGTTCCTCATGTGTTATCAAATATTCTATAATGTCTCATAGGAAACCACATTTTAGATAGGTCAATATTGATTACAATTAACATAATATAAAAACATAGTGCATGTGCATACCGGTTTAAAATTAATATGATTTTATCTTTGGAAGTGTATAATGAAAATATTAATATTTTCTATCCCAATGTTACGTGAATATCAAAGGAAAAAAAAATTAGTGTGGCATCTAGAAGATGACGAGGATCTGGACATCTTTAATGGATTGGAAAAGTTATATTTTAAATTTTATTCTTGATTTATTGTTATCTTTTTAGAACGGCTTTTTTGATTTATTCAAGGGAGAACTTTTAAAAATGAGAAACGAACAAACGACTTGTCCGCCCTCTAGCAAATAGTAAATGCACACGAATGGATGTTTCGACAAAAGTACGGTCTCGCAAGACCCAAAACTTCTTTTTTCTTTTCTAAAGTTTTAAATTAAAAATAAGATTTGGTTTCATATGTATCTTAGACTTAGAGCATCTTTAACCTCATATTAAAACTTAAAATTTATATTAAATTTGATGTTACAATTTTGAGTAAATTAATTATCAAAATCTCAAAATGTGTGATCTAATCACCAAAGTTCTAATCGTGCTAAACAAACCATTGAAGTCATGATTTTTTTTTCATTTAACAATTGATACATTTTATAGTAGGTTTTATAGGTTCTATTTAAGACTTAAGATGAATTCATCATTCAAGTTACATAAATGTTTGTTTTTCTTTTTTTGGGAAAATGACATATATACCCTATTATGTTTCTAGAGTTTACCCATTTAGTCACTTAACTTATTTTGTGGCTTTATGAGGGAACGAATTATTTGTAACCTAGCAATCTAATCCCTTTCACATATTGTAGCCGGTTTCCATTGCCACATAAGCGTCCCAACAACCCAAAACTCAAACGACGTAGTCTTGTATTTCAATTTGCTTGGGAGTTCTTTCAATCTGAATATTTTGAATTGCGAAATGAGTTTGCAACTGGTTTTATTTTTGGAAGAAATTGGTACTTACGGAATGGCAATCATTTTGTTCTTGGTGGTAGAAGGAAGACGGGGAACACTAGATTTACCCTTGTCCTTTTCTGATTGTATATCAATCAAAGTGTAGTTCTGTGAAGATACAAGATCAAGAACTTGAGCAGCAGTGAGATCACCTGGATTGGAAAGTATGATTCCAAATCAGAATCGTTTCGTGAGTAGCATCACTTTTGATCATATATATGGTTTTAATTTACCTTTGTATCCACGAAATTTGAAAGATAGGGCGGAGAAGACAGGCGACAGTAAGAGATAAGTGAGGACCAAAGCTCCGCCGGTGACGACAATGGTGGTGGGATCCGCCGATGAGATGGTCTGCATCGTGTTTGATGCAATCGGTTGAAAACACACATATTGCTGCTATTTGTTGTCATTTGTTGTTATTTGGTATCTTCATTATCAGGTTCTTCCGGATTCAAAACACACATTCGAACAACTTGCATATTCCCCTGATTTTTGTTATTTCCGCCATCGCCATTCGATTCTAGTTGTTTCTCGATTATAGAAAACACCCTCCCGTCGAGGAAAAGAGGAACCCTTGCGAAGCCTTATTACAGGTTTCAATTCCATATTTTTGAAGAAGAGAAGAGAATGGATGTTTTCCTTAAATGGAATACAAACGACTGTAAACGTTTTAAACATGGAAAACCCAAATACCAAAGTAGCAAGTGGACATAACATTTCAACTCATTGTCACATAAAGGTTTATCGGGTACTATTTATCAAACTAGATATATGAATGTGTATCAGGTAACATGTTTGAGGAATATCAGATGGGGAAGAAGATGAATAGTATCGGGTTAAGGAATAATTGGTCAACAAACATCTGATGTGGAAAAGGGGTAACTGGATGACCCCTTCATTTTGCCCAAAATGACCTAATCGACCCGACAAAGTGTAATCCGTTCCCTTAGAAAGCCACAAAATAAATTAAGGGGCTAAATGGGTAAACCCCAGAAACATAATAGGGCATATATGTCATTTTCCCTTCTTTTTTAGCACAAAGTTACTAAAAATTATCACAGATCCTGATTAACATGCTCATAACCATGAAAGGATTACGAATTACCTTTTGTATTTGATTACAGATTACCTTTTTCTTTTTTTTCATAGCCTTCATTTTTCAATTCTTAGCGGTGGCCTCATACATTATTAACCTCGTTCATTCTTCTGTTGATTTCTTGTTCTACAATATGGTTTTAATTAAGGTTGTTAAGATCGGATCTTATCCAAGATCGTTTTATGTTTTGCAAGATTGTGATCATAAGATCGGATTGGGATTGAAAGATCCTACTATAATAAACTAATATTCAAATTTGTTCTTAAGGTTTTGGATGTGCATTATACATTATAATTATTTTTTGAACGATAGGATGATGTTATTAAAAACCCACTAGCAAGAAGCTACAATAATTTTATTATACATTATGACTTGATGTTGATTAAAATGTCAATATGGATCAACTTTAACTTTTTAAGCATGAACCATAACTTTTTTTACTGCAAACCATAAAATTAAGAAGAAAACATCTTAACTACAAAAACAAACAAGATCATGTACAACTACAGGGTTAAGATAACAAAATTAATATCATGAATGTTACCTGCCTAATT